ATATATATATATATATATATATGTGTGTGTGTATATATATGTGTATATATATGTGTGTGTGTGTATATACATATATTTTAGTAACAGAACTTCCAAACACTTAAAAGTAGGATAGTTACAATCAACTTTCATAAAGGACTTGCACATACCCGGATTTTGGTATCCGTGGGGGTCCAGGAACCAATCCCCCTTGGATAGTAAGGGAGGACTGTACTCATCATCCAACTTCAACAAGTCAGTTTTCTGCCACTTTCATTTTATCTATCCCTTTCTGCATTTTTTTAAAAAGTGCTGTATATTAAAGCAAATCCTGAACATCATGTCATTTCACCTATATCAGCGTGTGTTTCTAACAGATAAGGACTTTATACTATTATCACAGCCACCAAAATTTTAAAAATTATTTAACATCACTTAATACCTAGTATGTGTTTAATTCCCCACATTACCTCAAAACAACTTTGTACATTAGATTGTTTATTTAGGGTCCAAGCAAGGTTTGCTTACTGAATTTCACTGAAATATATGTCTCTTAATATATAACAATTCCAGCTGGTCGTGGTGGCTCATGCCTGTAATCCCAGCACTTTGGGAGGCTGAGGGGGGAGGATGACTTGAGGTCAGGAGTTTGAGACCAGCCTGGCCAACATGGTGAAACCCCGTCTCTACTAAAAATACAAAAATTAGCTATGTATGATGGCACACACCTGTAATCCCAGCTACATGAGAGGCTGAGGCAGGAGAATCGCTAGAATGCAGGAAGCAGAGGTTGCAATGAGTCAGGATCCCGCCACTGCACTCCAGCCTGGGTAATAGAGTGAGACTCTGTCTCAAAACAAACAAAAAAGCCAAAAAAACACCAAACCAAATACATATAAATTCCCCTTCTCTTTTCGTTGTTATTCATGCTATTTACTAATTAAAGAAACTGGGTCCTTTGCCCAACAGAATTTTCCACTTTCTGGGTTTTGCTGATTGTATCTTCATGTGTCATTTAACTTTTTTTTTTTTTTGGCCCTGGTATGTCCTGTAATCACAAGTTAACTCTAGAGTCAGGGGAGGTTTACAGTGAAACTAATGAAACTAAAATTATAATTTTGTGTCTTTTTCTTAAAGAGGACTGTGAAATTTGTATAGCTTTTTGTTGTTGGTCTTTTTTTTTTTTTTTTTTTTTTTTTTTTTTTTTTTTGTGTCTTTTTTTTGTTTTTTTTTTTTTTTTTTTTTTTTTTTTTTTGTTTGTTTGTTTGTTTTGAGACAGAGTCTCGCTCGTCACCCAGGGGCTGGAGTACATGGCATGATCTCAGTTCAGCCTTCACCTCTCCACCTCCCAGATTCAAGTGATTCTCCCACCTCATCTTCCCAAGTAGCTAGGATTTCAGGTGTGCACCCCCACCACACCAGGCTAATTTTTGTGTTTTTAGTAGAGACCGTGTTTCCCCATGTTGCTCAGGCTGGTCTCGAACTCCTGACCCCAGGTGATCTGCCTGCCCCAGGCTCCGAAAGTGTTGGGATTACAGGCGTGAGCCACTGCACCCAGCCCTGAGTTTCTTTAACTCGTACACCCTTATTTTAGGTCAATGCATTAATTTTGTTTTGCCGTTTGTAATATGAAAATGGCTTAGAGAAGTGACCCCACGTCTGTACCCTCATCGCCACTTGCAGACGCCAAGTTAGAACTAAAGGCCATGTCTCAGTTCCTCCTAAGGGAGCCTGCAGTATGGGAAAGATCCTTTTCTCCTGTTTCTTGGGGGTGAGAAAAGCCACTGGGCTCAGAGACACATCTCATGGAAGACCCACCTCTTCAGCCTCAGGGTTAACCAAAGCAAAATTTTCCTGTATCAGACCACCTCTTCCTTACCCAACAAGAACCAAGCTGAAGAGGGTCCCATGGAGGTGTGCTTACTTCACTCCTGCGCAATCCTAAATGGCCCCTTTTTGCCCACCTCATCTAAGAAGAATGTGTGCCTCAGGTGGGGGTGGTTACCATGGTAACATTTTGTTTGTTTGTTTGTTTACTGAGGCAGGGTTTTGCTCTGTCACCCAGGCTGGAGTACAGTGGCATGATCATGGCTCATTGTAGCCTCAACCTTCTGGGCTCAAGTGATCCTCACCCTGCACTCCCAAATTGTTTCAAGTACAGCCCATGCCACCACGCCCAGCCACCGAGGCAACATTTAAGGCCCTCTGTGATCTGGCCCTAACCTACCTTCCAGAGGACCTTATCTCCTCCACCCACCCATCCATACTGCTTATTTTGCAACCAATGGTCCAGGGGAAATCAGGGCTCACAGCTGGAGGTAGGTGGGGTAGGGTGGAGGAGGTTCAGAATTTCCGGGGAGGGGTGGTTGCAGCTTGAAAGATATAGCATGGGCCGGGCTTGGTGGCTCAAGCCTGTAATCCCAGCACTTTGGGAGGCCGAGGCGGGTGGATCACGAGGTCAAGAGATCGAGACCATCCTGGTCAACATGGTGAAACCCCGTCTCTACTAAAAATACAAAAAATTAGCTGGGCATGGTGGCGCGTGCCTGTAATCCCAGCTACTCAAGGAGGCTGAGGCAGGAGAATTGCCTGGACCCAAGAGACGGAGGTTGCGGTGAGCCGAGATTGCGCCATTGCACTCCAGCCTGGGTAACAAGAGCGAGACTCCGTCACAAAAAAAAAAAAAAAAAAAAAGAAAGAAAAATATAGCATGATCATTTTATATGTGGAAAATGAGAACAAACTTCTATTTCAGTGCAGTATAAAATACAAAAAGAAAATCTTCGTAATATCTTGGCTAATGGAGAACCACTGAAAATAGCAGTATCTCTAGCAGTATGTGTGGGGGTGGGCACAAGATGGCCATGTTTTGTTTGTTTGTTTTGTTTGTTTGTTTATTTTAAGATGAGGTTTCACCATATTGGTCAGGCTGGTCTCAAACTCCTGACCTCAGGTGATCCGCCCACCTCAGCCTCCCAAAGTGCTGGGATTACAGGAGTGAGCCACCGCACCCAGCTGTTTTGTTTTGTTTTGAGACAGAATCTTGCTCTGTCACCCAGGCTGGAGTGCAGTGGCGAAACCTTGGCTCACTGCAACCTCCACCTTCCAGATTCAAGTGATTCTCCTGCCTCAGCCTCCTGAGCAGCCAGGACTACAAACATGCGCTACCACCTCCAGCAAATCCTTGTATTTTTAGTAGAGATGGGGTTTCACCATTTTGGCCAGGTTGGTCTCAAACTCCTGACCTCATGATCCACCCGCCTTGCCCTCCCAAAGTGCTGGAATTACATGCATGAGCCACTGCGCCTGGGCAGAGATGGCCATGTTTATCGGAAAGGGGCATGGGCATGGCAGGTGCCTGGAATCCCAGCCACTTGGGACCTTGAGGGAGGAAGATTACTTGAGGCCAGGAATCTGAGACCAGACTAGGCAAAACCCCTGTCAAGAAGGCCCCATCAATAAGGGAGGAAGGGAGGAAGAGACGAAAGGGGAGGGAGGGAGGGAGGGAAAGAAGAAATGGAAAGCTGGGCTCCCGACAGACCTCTTTCTCTGGTGGGCCCAGAACAGATCCTTTGTATTCCTGTATGGGGCTTCACTCCAGACCTCCACCCGCTTACCTCTCCACCTCCATCAGCTCTCTGCTCAGAAGCCTCTGACCTGGCTGGCTGTCAGTGCACAGTTGCTGCCTGGTATCCTCACTCCTGTTAGGGACATCACTGCTGCTTAAGTGTTCATAGTTGGGCTCCCTAACTTGCCTTTCAGTTATTTAGTAGCTTAACATCTGTAAAGGCTCCAGAGTAAGCTCAGAACTTCTTAAATGATTTCATAGTACCCGATACTTTTTCCTTTGCTGCACTTTTTCTTTTTTTGAAACAGGGTCTTGCTCTTGGTCTGCACTCTGGAGCACAGTGGTGTGATCTTGGTTCGCTGTAGCCTCAACCTCCTGGGCTCAAGCGATCCTCCCACCTCAGTCTTCTGAGTAGCTGGGACTACAGGCATGCGCCACCATGCCTGGCTAATTTTTGTATTTGTTTTTGTAGAAACATGGTTTCATCATGTTGCCCAAGCTAGTCTGGAACTCCTGGGCTCAAGCCATCCTCCTGCTCTGGCCTCCCAAAGTGCTGGGATTAAAGGCATGAGCTACCACATCTGGCTCCCCCCTCTTTTTTTTTTTTTTCAATTTAGAGGTAGGGCCTCACTTTGTAGCCCAGGCTGGAGTGCACTGGAGCGATCATGGCTCACAGCTGCCTCGAACTCCTATGCTCTACCAATCTTCCTGCCTCAGACTCCCAAGTAGCTAAGACTACGGGCGTGTGCCAGGATACCTGGCTAATTTTTTAAAAATTTTTCGTAGAGACAAAATTTTGCTACATTGCCCAGGCTGGTCTCAAACTCCTGGCCTCAGGTGATCCTCCCACCTTGATCTCTCAAAGTGCTAGGATTACAGGCATGAGTCACTGCACCTAGCCACATGTTTTCTGAATACATGCTGGTATATCTATATCAAATTCCTCTCCTCTAAACGCTGGACAGAATTCCATAGCTTATACCCAACACTGGCTTATCTCTTCCCAGAGTGTTTGACACACCTCAGTCACCTCCACTTCCCACCACCACACAACACCCCAGTGCCCTCTCAAGTCCCTCTGGAGGTAGGCGCCATTTTTCCATGACTGTGCCACGCAAGTTGCAGCTGGGGACCTGAGGTTGGGAGAGCAAGCTGTCCTCTTCCCTGTGATGGCTTGGGTGGTGAAAGGCAGGATCAGAACTCGCACACTAGCCAGGCACGGTGGCTCACACCTGTAATCCCAGCACTTCGGGTGGCCGAGGCGAGTGGATCACCTGAGGTCAAGAATTCGAGACCAGCCTGACCAACATGGAGAAACCCCATCTCTACTAAAAATACAAAATTAGCCGGGTGTGGTGGTACGTGCCTGTAATCATAGCTACTCAGGAGGCTGAGGCAGGAGAATTACTTGAACCCAAGCCTGGGTGGAGGTTGAAAAAAAAAAAAAAGGCCAGGCATGGTGGCTCATGCCTGTAATCACAGCACTTGGGAGGCTGAAGCAGGCGGATCACCTGAAGTCAGGAGTTTGAGACTAGCCTGACCAATATGATGAAACCTCATCTCTAGTAAAAATATAAAAATTAGCCAGGTATGGTAGCATGTGCCTGTAATCCCAGCTACTCGGGAGGCTGAAACAGGAGAATCACTTAAACCCAGAAGGCGAAGGTTGCAGTGAGCCAGGATCGCACCATTGCACTCCAACCTGGGCAACAAGAGCAAAACTCTGTCTCAAATTAAAAAAAAAGAAAAAAAGAACTGACCCACTACTGTATGTTGGCTTCGTGCCTTCAGAATCTGAGTCTTCAAGTATAGCTTCAGAAAGAATTGTCTACTGAAGGGTTTAGCTTTCCCTTTGTCATGTAGAGGAACCGGCCCAGCTGTGCTGCTGAGAGCAACTGAGAGGTTATGTTGACAGATTCTAGAGACATGAGCCTGTGTTCAAATGTCAACTTCACTGCTTACCAGCTGTATTCAATTTCTTTTCGTCTCAGTTTTCCCATCTGTAAAATGGGAATTGCAATCATAATGTCATAATAACAGTACCCACCTCATAGGGTTGTTGCATTTAGAACAGTGCTTGGCAGTAATAAGCAAGCATTTAGTAAATGCTGGCTGTGACTATTTAAAATACATATAAGGGCAGAGCCTGCAGAGCCATACAAGCAATTTCTGACACTGTTCACACAGAAAAGTTAAGACATTCAAAAGAAAATAAAAAGAAACAGCAGATGTGTCTGGCTGGCTACACCAAAGTAATTCTCTTTGTAATCTCTAATGACAAGGCCTTTACAGGCCCATCACAGTCTTCTAAGTCCAAACACTTAAGTATAAACAACAGAACCCCAAAGAAACCTGTTCCCTTCCCTCTGTCTGGCTCTGAGAGTTTTACAACTAACAGTTCTGGCTCCAAGAGGACCCCATTTCCCCCGAATTGTAAGGCATTCTTGGCTGTCCCTGCAAATCTTCTACTTTGTCACTTTCCAATGCTGGAGCCCAGAGAGTTTAGGTTGGATTCAGGAAAGACAGGACCAGCCCTTGGGAGCTTGAGGGCCGATACTGGCTGCAGTGGCGTGACTTGCGAGTGACTCAGTCCTGACAGCTTTGATTTGAGTCGTATTTAGGAGGCAGCTCTGGTGGGGCTCAAGCCTGAAATTTATGGCTTGTTTGTCTTGAACCATGCCATATTTTTCTCGCCTTGAAGATGAAAGAGTTGCTATGCCACACACTTCCCTGTCTCCTGCATTTTGTAACATGTAAGCTTCTGGAGTGTCCCTTTTATTTATCTGGAGAATTAACTTCTAAAGGTTATGCTCATCTCCCTAACCAGCCGCATCTGAGGGTCTTGAAATAGAAGACTCTAAATGGACAATTTGATGGCTTCCTCCAAAACTTCCTTATGCTCACACTCTCATGGTTCTTCTCACCCCATGACTATTCTCTGTACTATAAACTCCGCAGAAAGACCTTTGAGTGGACAAAGAATAGTCAGTCCTGCCATAAAGCTGTAAATTATTGGAGAGAAGGGTTCACCTCTTGTGTTTCTTTGATTCATCTAGAGAGCCTAGCACAGTGCCTTGAACATAGTAGATACTCAAATATTTGTTCATTGATAAGATTCTGAGACTTAGATGGGAGTGAATGGACAACATTGTCTAAGGAAACATGAATGGTTTTAATTCTTTTTATCAGGAATAGCCAAAATGCGAATTTATACCAAAATGTTTAAAAAATTGCAGTATCTGTAAAATATTTTATAAGCTTTGGAATCTGCCTAGTGAGGTGAACTTATTGATTTGTTCATTGACAAACACCAAGTGCCCATATGTTTCAGGCACTATTCTGGGCATTACAGAAGTAAAGAGGGAGGCAGTCCCTGCCTTTGAGTTCACAAACTTAGACGGGAGATGGGCAGGCAAGCTACTGAAATATTCTAAGGTAAGCTCTTTGGCAAGGTATGAGGAAATGAACAGTAGAGAGTGGAGTTGAGGCCAGGCACAGTGGCTCACGCCTGTAATCCCAGCACTTTGGGAGACCAAGGCGGGCAGATCACTTGAGGTTGGGAGTTCGAGGCCAGCCTGACCAACATGAAGAAACCCTGTCTCTACTAAAAATACAAAATTAGCCGGGCACAGTGGCACGCACCTGTAATCCCAGCTACTCGGGAGGCTGAGGCAGGAGAATCACTTGAACCCGGGAGGCAGAGGTTGCGGTGAGCCAAGATCACACTACTGCATTCCAGCCTGGGCACCAAGAGGGAAACTCCATCTCAAAAAACAAAAATGTTAGTGGAACTGAGGTCCAGAGGCTTAGAAGCAGATCGCAGGTAAAGCTGGTGTCACGTGGAGACAGAGCTACTTGGGATCATCCTGTGAGCTGGGGCTCTTGGTGGTGCCGGGCATTCCACTGTATGCAGTGGGTCCTCTCCACTGTATCTGTACTCTCCACTGTATGAGCATGGATCCACAGTGGGCAGACTTCAGCAAGCAGGAAGCCTTGGGGAAGCCACTGAAACATCAAATCTCCATTCCTTTTTTATTTTTAGACAAGGTGTTGCTCTGTTGCTCAGGCTGGAGTTTGTGGCACAATCATGGCTCACTGCAGCCTCAACACCTGGGCTCAATGGGAGCCGGGCTCAATGGGAGCCGTGCTCAATCTGTTTTCTTGTGGTGGAAGCAGGATCTTGCTATGTTGCTCAGGCTGGTCTCCAGCTCTAAGCCTCAAACAGTTCTCCCACCTGACTTCCCAAAGTGCTGGGATTGCAGGCATGAGCCACCACACCCAGCTTATTCATTTTTAAATCATGATGATAACACTAAAATTGCAAATTTGCTGAGAGAATTAAAACCGCAGTTTGAAAATTACAAAGCACACACAAATAAGTTATCAGAAAAAGAAGTACGAGCCGGGTGTGGTGCCACACGCCTGTAATCCCAGGTACTCAGGAGGCTGAGGCAGAAGGATCGCTTGAGCCTAGGAGTTCAAGGCTACCGTGAGCCATGATGGTGCCCTTGCATTCCAGAGCCTGGGTGACAGAGTGACACCCTGGCTCAAAAGTAAAAAATAAAACAAGAAGGATGCTAATAGGACAGACCTCAGAGAGCTGTCACAAGAATGCATTTATTTTGTGCCTGTGAGGGTGCTTCAACGTTATGAGGGGCTACACAAATGTCTGTCTACTGTAAAATTAATTAATGCCCTACCTTCTCAAATTCTCCAAGGTTAAAACAAAAAGTTGAAGATGAAAACCTAGACATCATCCCTTTCAAAATGCCTTACTGTCATACAGGAGGACTTGATCCAGAGTTGGGACAAATTGGGCTACAACCAAAGGCAGAGATTTGGATGTAGCCATTTGATAATAGACAACAACACTGTTTAATATATTTAATCTGCCGGGCGC